TTCCAATTCAGGGGGCGAGAGTTCAATCCCTGGTTGTTGAACTAAGATCCCACATGCCGTGAGGCGTAGTCAACAAAAAAAAAAAAAAAAATATATATATATATATATATATATATATAAATACTATAAATGTGGAAAGGTGGAAAAATTAGCCTTAAGTAGATAATATTTTACTCGGGTATCTAAAAATATCACAAGTTAAACAGTGCTGATAAAGTATATATTCATAATCCTTTCTAAATAAAGTCTTTTTTTCTGTCCTCTATTTTAGCATTAAATGGGTAAGCTAAAATTAATGCTGAAGAAACAGAGGTCTACTTTAAATTAAAAAAGGTAAGAAAATAACTTTCATGGAGGGGCATGAAAGATCTGTATGGTCAGTGCATTCACTTCTAAACACATCTGGGACAGACAGATTCTAAGCCAAGACAAAAGGAACATCAGTGGCAGAAGGAGGGGGAGGGGGAGGGAGGGAGAAAGGTAAGGTAAAGATGAATTATCACTACCTCCTGCAACAAGCATCAGAGCAGCATACATACATATAATTCATTTGTACAAATGTGATTTCTTACCTATTTGAAAAACTACATCAGATACATTGCTTACAAAGTTCCTACTTTTCACTTACCCTCCAAAGGTAGTCTAATCCTATTAACTCCAAATCATCCATCATATATGCTCTCCTTTTTGCTACTAGTTTTCCTTCTCGACAATTCACAGCTTTGAAGAATCGCTCAAAACATTTCATTCCATTTTCAGTCAGTAGAGAAGGATCAAGCTGAAGTACATTGCTTTCAAAGAAGTCCTTGTTAATATCAGGATCCAAGTCTGGTTCATCACCCATCAACTTGGAATACCACTTAAAACAGGCTTCACGATCACAAAGGTAAACTGCGTTCTCTGCTAAGCATTTCCATATTTGTTTTGCCTGAGGAGCGCAGAGCCACAATTGGCCATCCTTCAATAAAAATCTTAAAAAACATAAAAAATTAGCAATTAGATCTACATAATTTTTTATCCTGAAAGGCAATCTGTGTCTATATATGGGAAATAATCCATTTATCACAATTATATTTTAACTACAGGTAAAAAGATGTCAGTTTTTATCAACATCTTAAAATAACTTCTTAAAATAACTTATTTCTTAATTTTTATCTATTACTAAAAAATACTAGATATTAATTCATTCAACAAGCAGATATTAAGCACCTACAATGTGCCAGGAACTCTGCTACATCACTGGACCTAAACTGAAAAAAAGATTTGTTCCCTCTACACGTGAAACACTAAATCAACTATACTTCAATAAAAATAAAATAAAAGGATACACATTAGGAGAAAAAAAGATTTGTTCCCTGAACTTAAACAGTTTCATCTTTGAAACCAGCCATTTTAGAAGTATGTTTAATAGGTTACCTGAGATTTAGCATTGTGCTTATATGGTATCATTGGAGAAAGAGGTATTCTATTATGTGACTTTATAGATAACCAACTTATCAACGCTGAAGAGTTAAAATTGCTTAAATTTCAATATTTGATGATGATCTAGTATTCATCACTCAGTACTTGGCCACACTGAACAGAATAACTGACATATTTTAAACTTTTTAATGTCAAAACTCAACAGGATGCTTATTAATTATTCAGTGGCATTCTCGAGGGTCTTTTTAGTTTTGGGACTATAGGTTTGGTTCAAGTGAATTCTGTTTCAACTAGTTTCTTCAGTTAGCTTTCTTTTTCTTTTAGCATTCATCCACCCACCCTGTCTGCCATATCTCTGACATCTCATTTTATTCTGAGGAACTTAACACAATCTTTAGCTAATGTAATGGTGGCTCCATTCCCAATTACACAGCAAGGTGAATGTATTTAAGGTTCCCTCTTCATTTCAAAGCATTTTGAGTTATCAATTCTAGTGTCTTTGATATTTTCATAGTATTGCTGAGCTTAAAGAGGGCTTCTAGCACCTGTCCCACCTAACCCTGTCACCTCTAATTTACAGATAGGAAACTGAGGTCCAATATGATAAAACACAGTTGTTTTCAGTTCTGAGTTGTACTTTGTTTTGTTTTGGTTTTTAAAAACAGCAGCAGAAAACTTTCTTCAAGCAAAAATTCCATTTGGAAGGCCAATGTATAAAAATAAAAGCAGAGCTGTTTCAATTGTTGGGAAGAGGAGGAAAGAAGTGAGAAATGGGGATAAAACCTCTACTGCCTGTCCAGAAATCTTGGAGGAAGCTCCTCAGAAGCCCTAAGTCTCCAAGGTAGGTTTGAAAAATCACTGGTCTAATAGAAAGAACATAGACTTAAGTCAGATACACCTAGTTGAGTAGTGCAGCACTATGATATACTGGTTGTGTGATTTCAAACAAGCTTGTTTAAGCCATGAGAATCTCAGTTTTCTTATTAATCAAATTGGGATAATACCTGCCTCCCTGCACTGCTATGTAAAGCATTTAACACAAGCCAAATACATAGTAAAGTTCGGTTCCCATCCCTTGAGAGAACTGCTGTAGGTCATATAGATAGGTACTAATAGAGCAAGGACTAAAAACAAGTTCTCTGATCCCAAACTTTAATTTAGCAAAAGAGCTGATAACCACTCTTCTGTTCTAGGCAATCTAAAAGATACAACACACACCAATCAAAAACAATGGCTCACTATGGCAATGATTCTCAATCTGGGGAGGAAGGTCCTTCCATCTAGATGGTTGAAAAACAAAACACACACAAAACCACTTCACTTTAAACAAATGCCAAATTTCTTCAAATCTGGTGTCTAGAGTTTTCTCTCAAGTTAAAGTCTTAATGTACCTACTTATGTCAATGCTTCCAAGTAAGCACGTAATTCAATAAACATAAGCCTATAATTAATGTAGCCCAGGAGAAAATTCCCCAGTGTATCAAAATAATAAATGCAATAGATTTTCTGAGGCACTGATAATCTGGGCATTTCCTTCAGCATGCTTAGGATCTGAATAAGCTCTTCTGCTATATGATGTGGTTTCTGAATTCACAAGAAACCTCTCATCATGAAAAACTTTAACAATTTCAAATCTACAAGTGTATAATCATTAAAAGCTAAACATCAATGAGTAAATCAAGCCTTGGACTACATTTAACTTTGGCTTAAGGGAATAAACCTCTTTTCTTCATCCCCATCAGAATAATGTTAACACATGACTCCAGACTACCTTTGTCAGCCACTGTTAGGATAAACGAGGCACCAAAGAACTCAATCACTCTTTTGGGGTGCTGGTCTAACAGCCTTTTCTCCCCATTTCCTTAGTGTCTATGATATCATTAAGGTCAATATGGTGCTCTAGCTGGTTCTGTCAAAATATGGAAATCTCTTCTTTAAAAATAAATATAAACAAATATGAAGACCAGAAGTCTATATACAAAAAGTTTAAATGTGTTCTCTTCAAAATACTTCTTTGCAGTCAAAGAAGAAAAGTTAAAACTCAGCCAATAATTTAAAAATATTTAATAATGAACACATAGGGAAATGTCCTGTGACTTTCATGTAATGATTTCCACATGGGGAAATAAAATGTGGCAAGAGCCACCTAACAAAGACCTAGTCGTACAGCATATCAACTTGGTATTCTTTGTCTTAAAAAGAGCAACACTAATTGTTTAAAACAAACCTAAGGAAGTTAAGCCGTTCCTGGACTTCTTGAACATGACTATATCTACTTCCCAGCCTCACAGTTTGTGGGTCATAGTCTTCATGGTCTGCAAATTAAGAAAAATCTTGCATTATACACATGGTTATCCATATCATTGCTGACTTTAATCAAAGGAAGTCAGTTAAAGTCGTTAATCCTTTATTACTAAAAGGCAACATGAAATTTACTAATTACTGGTAGTTTCTACCCATCTCCTTTTTCCCAACCAAAATAACCTTTCCTTTCACATAACCAAAATAGTCTGTTAAATGTGCTGTCAAAAATAATTCTTCATACAACCCCTTTGCCTAATTTTCATACATAATGAAGTAACTTCTGATTACAGCCTAAGACTGACCTGAGTGGCCTATGTTATAAAAAATCATATTACCAACCTCTATCTAGGAAGTTAGAGTTAACACAAGATGCTACTCTACATAATGAAGTTATCATACCATAATCACCACCAGCATGTTATGAAAGGCTTGAACATTCTCAGATAAATTTAAGAAAACCTACCCTTCTATCACGGCACGACGATGGGTATATATTGGTCACTAGGTCTAGCTTAATTTGGAAATTCCTTAAAAATTTTTTTAATAAAATAAAGCTAGTAAACCCTTCGGTTTTACTTTCATTAGAGTATACCCTATAATGGAAGAAGAAAAAAGTCTCAGTGTTTGCAATGAAAGACCAGAGCAAAAAAAATCTTTAGAAGCACCTCCGGTCCTAAAAACACGTTGGACAGTGTCATTTTGCTTTTATTTTACTGGAAAAAGCCATATATGATCTGGAAATGGTCAAGTTAATTTGTGGCTTAGAGCAGAAGAAAGCTGAAGCAAATGTTCTGAACACGTGCTTTCAACTACTTGGGAATCAGTGACATTTCTTCCAGAAAGTTGAGGCAAGTTATGCAGGAATAAGAAATTATGTAATTTTAAAAGAAAGAAATTGTATAATTTAATTGGCATTAATTATTGGTATTTTCATACCCTGGATCTTATGGTATGTGTATGCTAGTGCCAAAGAATTCTGATTGTGTGTGACGCTTTAGACATAGTAATGGTAATGTCTTAATTTTTTTTTTAATTAATTTATTTTTGGCTGCATTGGGTCTTTGTTGCTACACGCGGGCTTTCTCTAGTTGCGGCGAGCGGGGGCTACTCTTCGTTGCGGTGGCTTCTCTTGTTGTGGGGCACGGGCTCTAGGCGTGCAGGCTTCAGTAGTTGCAGCACTCAGCTCAGTAGCTGCAGCATGCAGGCCCTAGAGCGCAGGCTCAGTAGTTGTGGCGCACGGGCTTAGTTGCTCCGCGGTATATGGGATCTTCCTGGACCAGGGGCTCGAACCCGTGCCCCCTGCATTGGCAGGCGGATTCTTAACCACTGCGCCACCAGGGAAGTCCAATAAATGTCTTCAAATACAGTGAGGTTTCTTCTCTGAACAAAATCTTAACATGTTGTAAAGATGGACCGCTTACAATGTTTAGAAACATCTTTTGATGCTTTGGTGAAGAAAAGCAGCCCAATGTATTATGACTACCTGCTTTCTACTTCCACATAATACTGCTATCTACCCAAGTCCTAAACACATATTGTCTACTCCCAAAAAAAGTCAATTTCATCAGGGCTCAGGACTTGAAGCACTACTTCTCAAGAGGTTTTCTCAAGAAACTGAATAGAATTCTATTCCACTATGTAACAATTTTCTTTTTCAGAGCATCAAAGTACCTGAATAAATGATGGACTTTTTTCCTTAACAAGGAGTTTACACACAGTTTTGTTTGCCAGGTTCTTTTTTAGGGAAAATTTTAATAATTTCAAAAGTAAGTTTAAAAAATAATATAAGAAACACTTATGACCTTTACTCATATCACCAGTTGTTTACATTTTGCCCCATTTGCTTAACTAATCATCACATATACGTTTATGTGTGTGTATATAATTTTTCTAAACCATTTGAGAGTAACTTGGCGACATGTCCCTTTATTCCTAAATACTGCAACGAATATTTCTGAATAATAAAGACATTCTCTTACATAACCACACACAATTATCAAATTAACACCGATACAATAGTATTGTATTATCTAACCCAAGGCTTCTCAACAGCACATTATTGACATTTAGGGCTGGATAATTCTTTGCTGTGTTGAACTGCCCTATGCAGCAGTGTAGGATATCTAGCAGCATCCCAGGCCTCTACCCACTAAATTCCAGGAGCATCCTTGCCCAACTGCCCCCCTCCCAAATTAAGATAACCAAAAAATATCTCCAATTTTACCACTAATGTCCATTTATGCCTTCATTACCCCAAATCCAAGATTAAGTTCACACTGCTTTTAGCTGTCACGTTAATTCTTCTTTAATCTGGAGAATTCAACATTCTTTTTATTTCTTGACCTTTTATAAAACTATAAGCCAATTTTGTTGCATGTTGCTTAATGTGGGCTTCTCTGATGCTTCCACATGATTAGATTCAGGCTAGGCATTTTGGCAACAAAGAGTACCACAGAAGTAACCCTATATCCTCCTCAAAGAATCATTATCAGGAGGAACAGCGTATGTCATTCTGCGGCAGTATTCATGTCAACTTTGATGCGGTTTCCACCAGGTTTCTCCACTGTAAAGTTACTATTTTTCTTTTTAATTAATTTGTGGGGAGATACTTTGAGACTATGTAAATAGCTTGTCTATCAAACTTTTACCCACTAGTTTTAGCATCCTCTCCCTTTTATTTAGGTGGCAGCACTTTATCAAGAGCTGGGACCCTGAACATAGGGAAGAGATTTGAAAACATTCAATGAAAGCCGAACAATAATCAAGAAAAGTCAAGAAGATCCCTCTATGCTAAATAGGAATAGAGGAGCCCTACACTTCGCCACAGAGGAGTTTCCGGGCTTATAAAACATAAACAAGATGGTTGGTGGTTCTGCCCATAAACATTCAGCTCTAAATAAATAAAGAGATCAGTTAGCTTATGGCTAAGGCTAACATGAACTGGCCCTTGTCATTATTATTATTTTTTAAAATTTATTTATTTTTGGCTGCATTGGGTCTCTGTTGCTGTGTGTGGATTTTCTCTAGTTGTGGCGAGTGGGGGCTACTCTTCGTTGTGGTGCAGTCTTCTCATTGCGGTGGCTTCTCTTTGTTGCAGATCATGGACTCTAGGCACACAGGCTTCAGTAGTTGTGGCACACGGGCTTAGCTGCTCTGTGGCATGTGGGATCTTCCCAGACCAGGGCTCAAACCCGTGTCCCCTACATTGGCAGGCGGATTCTTAAGCACTGTGCCACCAGGGAAGTCCAGGAGCACGGAGTCTTAACCACTGGACTACCAGGGAAGTTCCTGTATATTGATCTTGATTCCTGCAATCTAGGGGAACTCATTTATTAGTTTTAATAGATTTTAGCATATTCTTTAGAATTTTCTGTATATGAGATGGTGTTATCTATTAGACATAATTTACAATTTCTTTTCCAATCTGGATGCCTTTTATTTCTTTTTCATGTCTAGTTGATCTCGCTAACATCTCCAGTAGAATGTTAAATAAAAGGGACTAGAGTGGACATCCTTGTCTCATTCCTAATCCTAAGAGGAAAGCAGCCAGTCTTTCACCATTAAGTATGATGTTAGCTGTAGGTTTTTTGAGATGCCCTTTATCAGGTTGAGGAAATTTCCTTCTATTCCTGGTTTGTTGAATGTTTTTATAATCAAAGGTACTGGATTTTGTCAAATGCTTTTCCTGCATCTACTTAGATGATCTCATAGTTTGAGCCCTTTATTCTATTAATATGGTATATTACAACTGACTTGGGGTGTCAAATCAACATTGTGTTACAGGGATACATTCCATTTGGCCCTGGTGCATAAACCTTTTTATATGTTGCTGGATTCTGTTTGGTTTTTTTTTGATAACTTTTGACTATATCACAAGGTGTACTGATCTGCAATTTTCTTTTGATGTCTTTGTATTATTTTGGTAGCAGGATAATAATGGCTTCATACTATGAGCCTGAAGTATTCCTCTTTTTGAAAGAATATGTGAAGGACTGGTGTTAATTCTTCTGTAAATATTCAGTAATTCACTAATGAAATTCACTAAACCTGGTTCTGGACTTTTCTTTGTGCGAAGTTTTTTGATTACTAATTCAATCTTTTTACTTGTTATATACATCTATTCAAATTTTCAATTGCTTCTTGAGTCAATTTTAGTAATCTGGCATTCTCCTATTTTTTAAATTTTTGTTAAGGTTAGTGGTGATGGCCTCTCCTTTCTGACTTTCACAACTGAGCCTAACTAAAGGTTTGTAAATTTTGCTGATCTTTTCAAAGAACCAACTTTCAGTTTCATTGATTTTCTCTTCTCTATTTCACTTATTTCTGCTCTAATCTTTATTAATTCCTTTTTGTTTTCGGATTAGTTTTCTCTATTCTACCTTTTGAAGGTGAAATGTTACTGATTTGCTATCTTTCTTCTTTAATACAGGAATTCTGAAGTATAAATTTCCTCTAAGCACTGATTTCGGAACACTCCATAAGTTTTGACATTTTGTTCTTTTTCATTTATCTCAGCATATTCTCACTTCCCTTGGCATTTCATCTTTGACCCACTGGTTAGTAAAGAATATATACTTTCCATACACCTATGAAATTCCCAAATTTACTTTTTAATTTATAATTTAATTCCACTGTGTACAAAAACCTACTTGTATAATTTCAATGCTTTTAAAGTTAATAAGGCTTGCTTATAGCCTAGAGTATGGTCTGTCCTGGAGGATATTCTGTGTATACATGAGAAGAACGTATACTCTGCTGTTTTCAGGTGGAGTATTCTACAGATATCTTTTAGGTACAGTTTATGGGTTTATACTGTTCAGGTCTTCTATTCCCCCCCTCCGCCCCCCATGGCTTTGAATTACTGTCTGCTGTCAGTTGCTTTCAGCCTAATTACTTCCTTTAGTATTTCTTCAAAGGCAAGTTGGCTAGCAACAAATTATCGCAACCTTTGAGAATGTCTTTACTTTGCCTTCATTTTTTTTTTTTTTTTTTTTTCCTTGCGTTATGCGGGCCTCTCACTGTTGTGGCCTCTCCCATTTGCGGAGCACAGGTCTGTTTTTGGTTTCTTATCTCAGGGTAGGTAGAGAGTAGCTCTGAGTGGACTAGCTGTGTGTTTCAGTATTTCTCAAAATGTCACGGGCACACGAGTCCCCTGATTAACATTCAGGTTCTGACTCAACAGGTTTGGGGAAGGGCCTGAGGTCCTGCACTTTTTTTTTTTTTTTCCTTGCGTTATGCGGGCCTCTCACTGTTGTGGCCTCTCCCATTTGCGGAGCACAGGCTCCGGACGCGCAGGCTCAGTGGCCATGGCTCACGGGCCCAGCCGCTCCGCGGCATGTGGGATCTTCCCGAAACGGGGCACGAACCCGCGTCTCCTGCATCGGCAGGCGGACTCTCAAGCACTGCGCCACCAGGGAAGCCCTGCCTTCATTTTTGAAAGACAGTTTTGCTGAATGTAAGGTTCTTAGTTGTCAGGTCCCTTCCCTGCCCCTGGCACTTTGAATAGGTTGTCCTACAGCCTTCTGGCCTCCAATGTTCTGATAAAGCAGTTGTTAATTTTATTGGGGTTTCCTTGTATATGAGGAGGTAATTGAAAGTGGCAGTCCTCAGAAGACAGAATGCAAAAATGTGATCTACAATAAAGACAAGTCCTCCAATTCTATCCAGAAACCAGGAAAAATGGTAAATAAAACTTTTATAAGTGTTCAAACCAGTACAAAGTCTATCCTACCAATAAGGTAAACCTTAAGTGAAAACTGAGAGATGGCTTTATACTGTGCTGTATGCATATAAAAGACTTTTAAAAAATGACTTGGTAAGCACCAATGCTTGAAGGCAATAAGAACACATGAGTAAATACTGAAGATAATTTTAGTAAGTTCATTACTTCATCTAAATAATGTTAAAACAGGAGGCAGAATCAGCTGACCATACTATTGAGGAAATGTTGCCACCCCCCCCCCCCCCCCCCCACCATGAAACATTGGCAGGACAAGTAATACTGGTGAAATACTTATCAGAAATTGAGAATATCAGTAAACTAGAAGCCTGATGTTATCCTGCTGAATAATGTCTCATACCTAATGGGATCCATGCAACACTTTTATTATATAGAGGCTAAAACATAATTTATTTTTGAATTGCAAATTTGGAAATCGGTGGTTGATCGATTTCCAAATGGTGTGAAAAGTTTGTTTTAACAAGGAAAATTTTACTAGCTTTAAAAATTACTCTCTCCCCCATATTTAAGTATCTGGAGACTGATCAGTATTAATCAGAAGATAACTGCAATAGAGGAAGAAAAGGTATCAAAAATAGGACGAACAGAAGGTATGGTGTCAATAAAGTCAGGGGAACATATCAGTAGCAACAAGAATTCAAGGGCTTACTATGTACCAGGCATATTCTAGCATAAATAACTTGTTCAAGGTCATACACCTAATATGTTAGGTGTTTCCAATCTAGGCAATCTTACTATGCAGATTCACATCTCTTACTTTGTGAAGATACAGACAGTATAAGAAGGGAAACTGAAGCCTGAAGACATTCAGTCCATGAAACTGAGATGAAGCAATGACTCATGTAGAATTTGACTACAAAGAAAAGAAAACCCTAGTGAGGCTGAACTGTACATGTATCATCTCCTGATAGCCTCGAGAGGATTCTCAACCTCTGACAATGAAATTAAATGAAATACCACATGCAAATAAATTAAGTAAAAATTAGCAATGCAACACATGTGGTTTACATTAAGGCTTCATTTGGGGGGAAGGCCTGCATTGGCATCTGTGAGGGCTTTGTACCATCAAGAAGAGGTGGCATCATAACAGAATGTGAGTTACATTAAACTGAGTGAGATGTTTGAATGCTTGGGAGTACTACATGCAAGTCTCTTTTGCCTCTCTCAGATTTTGTTTGCATTTGGTATATAACATAAATCATATGGTTGCATGCCTATGCTGTCCTGATTATTCTATCATGCTACTTAGATGGAACTTAAGACTGAAATGATAAAAGATTATTGCCTGGTGCCTATCAGTTGCCTGATGCTTAAACCGGCTATGCAGTCTATTAACTAGGAGGACTCAGCTGGCCCAGACTGGTAAATGGAAGAACAGAGTCAACAAAATCAGTTCAGGTATCTTGAGAGCTGCTTAGTTTTTCAATTATGTTTATCTGAGTTTTATATATGGGAATGTATGTATGTACCTTAAGTGTTAAGCAAAGCAAAAACCTTGTGATTTATAAGCACCTTGGTTGGGATTTTATTCAACAATGCCAAGAGACTAACTCTTCAAATAATGAGTATTAGAAATATCCTCATTTTTAATACATATATTGGCTTCTGCAGACTCTACTATAACATGTTAAAGGAGTGTATGTTCAGTAACCATTATGTTCAATTCTATCTCTGTGGTAATAAAAAGTTTTCTTTCTATGGCAATGTGAAGAAACTTAAACCTAAAAGATAGTTCTGGGGTTTATTTTGGGGCCTATGAGTTTGGCATAAGACAGAGGAATATGTACTAAGAACCCATCTGTAACCTAGCACACAGACTCAGACACAACTGTCAGAGGGCAAAAGCACATTGAAACAGAGCTCCACATACAGCAGGCGCTTAAAAACGGACTGTTGACCACAGAAATCTTTACCTTAACATGTTAAAACAAATTCACACTTTGAAACCAATGTAAACATGTAAACATGTAAACAATGTAAACATTCTAGTAGCCTCGGATCTCTTTCCTATAAACTTTTAATTCATAAAGTCTGAAGAACTTATGAAACATGGACTTAGGATTACAAAAGAACTATAGTATTTGCAAGAACAGACTTAGACAAAAGTTTTCTTGAAAAGATAAAGGTGGTGGCAGTAAGGAAACAAAGGATGAAAATGAGTCAGGTACATACCTAGGAAGGTAACAACCAATTGTAGTATAGGCAGGCAGAGCTCCCAGGCAGGGAAGAAAAATAAATCAATTTAAACAAGGAGAGTGAGTAAGGCAAGCACTTAGTAAAGAGCCTTGAAATGCTGGCCTGGAGTTTAGAGTGTGTAAGATTCGGGAGTAAAAGTGGATCACAAGTTCATAAAGGAACACAGTTTATAAAATCAACTACCTCACATCTTTAAAAATACATTTGTTGTCACTTCTAAGGTAACTGATGGAGAAAAAAACGCTGGTAAGGGAAACTGCTGTTATTTTTCATAGTTCATGTTAGCTTACAATACATACCTCTAGCATATAGTCTCATGCTTTCCATATAAGTTGCAAGGTTTTCTGCTACCAAAGTAACTAGGGCATGATTGTGCTGAAGTTGATTGATTAAGTCATGGCGATAGAATACATGGGGACTTCGCTGAGTTTGACTGAAACGAGAAGAACTTAACAATATAATTAGGCAATTAAACTCTGTTGTAATCGAAAGAGCTTATACAATCTAAATTCCGAGATACTAATTTAAACACTTAAAATGGTTTCCTTTATAACAGAATTAACTTTGGGCCATTTATTTTCTTTAATGACAATATTAAGCTATTTAAAAGAAAATAATCAATGCCTCAAAAATAAGACATTAATTCCACTATTCTTCCTTCATACAAAAACTATGCATTAATATTCTCCAATTTCACACTATGGGAAAATCAATGACCGATTTCTTCTCCCATACTACAGTAGTACCAAAGCACTTACAAGTTTACATGATTATTTCCAGAATTATAAAATAGAAACATTTCTTGTAACATTAGCACCACAAAGATTATGTTGTAAATGTAGTGGAGAATTTAATCAAAGAAAGTGCTTTCGTTAAAATTTTATTTATTAGGCATTCAAAGTACAGAATTATCTCTTATTTCCATCAAATATGACAGATAATTTCAGTGGCACGTGTTGTATCTATTAATCTCATTCCTCACTGCATTTTATCCTTCCTGCTTTGTTTCCCTTTTTGCCTGTATCTACCCTAATCCGTATTATATATTTCTTACAGACATTATATTTCCGTAATTGGTTTACTTTGCAATGTTTTAACGTTTTATTAACTTTGAAATGTCATACTACAGAAGCTTTCACAGTAAAATAAACCTACTGGCTTTTTAAATAGTTAGTTTTTAAAGTTAATTTCAAACACTAGATTTCAGGTATGTTCAAATGATGAAAGATGACAGGTATAGTTTAAAAATACTTTCTGACTTATTTGAGCTAAAGTTTGTTAAATAGCCAACTTTAAATATCTTACATGCCAAACTTCAGTTACTGGAATAATCTGTTCTTGTACTTTCTGGTTATAAGAGTTGGAACAGATAACGTGAAAGCAATATTATCATCTTTATTCTGATACTTATCACTAAATTGTGTCTTACTTCCTCATCAATAAAAGAGGTGGATACGATAAAGGAATCTTCTTTTGTTCAAATTTAATCCATGTGTAAGCGTCCTGTCACCCCACTGTAATTTTCTTTTTTAAAACTCGCTTTCACCAACTGACAATGCCGTTTCTTTTCAATAAAATACATAAATAAAAATATTGAAATTTTCTGTTAAAAGCCTTACCTCAAATTTTGAGGTGCTTCGCCAAACAAACTACAAATTTCTCTTATTTGTTTCAGTGCAGGAATTACCCATTTGTCATTTGTACGAAGTTCTTCTATAAAGCGATCTATCCACTGTATCTTCTGTGTGTCACGGTCCTTAAAAAACAATTTCAATGTTTTATATAGGTCAATACTCAGGAGAATTCCACCTTCAAATTAGTTTGAGAATTACAAAATAGAGCTTTTCTTATAAGATTAGCATCATACACATTATGCTGTAACTGCAGTAAATAATAATAATAAAAAGCTGCTTTTACATACATTTTTATTCCACATATACTACCAAAACTCCCAAAAGTAAAACACTATTATAAAAACTCAACATGACAAGGATTCAGATATATCTACAGAAAGGTATTAAGCACACTGAAAAGTTTGATTTTAAGTTGCCAGTAGGCAGACATTTAGCTTTATCCAATGTATTAAGAGAGTCTACCACATAATAAAATCCAGCAATAACATGTAACTCCAATTGTTACTCTGTATGGGTTTGTTTTTACCATAGTAAGGAACACTGAAAATTTATGTTTTACCAAGAAAATAGTACGGCAACTGAGTGAAAAAAATTCACCAAAAATAAATTCACACACAAGGAGAGAAAGAGACAGAAACAGGTATAAGCAATTAAAAATTAATGTTATAAAATCAAAATAACTTCAGATATATTTTACTTCTCATACTTTACTCTTT